CTGCGAGTGAAAGAAAGATGGCGTGAATCATATACATGCAAGTCGTACGTTTACGCAAGTCGGTGACAAATCACACCCCGTCGACGCGAGCTCACACGTGAGAGAGGCATGAGAGGCGGAGTATAGGAATGTCAACCGAAGTCAGATGGAGCCATGCCTCGTCAGAGTTCTTTCAGAGCTTACTTCTTCACTTCACGAGCCTCTTGCGTAGCCAAGTCTGACGAATCCAAACTATCTACGGGTAGACTCTGGCAACGATCTCGGCATTGCGGGCAGTCAACCATTGGACTGAAGATAACATTATCAGCACTGCGACCCCGTATGTAATCGGACAGGTGTCGCCAGTCTCCTAAGCAAGGACTCCACTGCGAGGTGGGGACCCGGACGTTGGCACTTCGCCCAGAACTTCCAAACAGAAGTGAACAAAGCCCCGGTCTGATGAAGCGGACTGCGCGGCTGCAGCCAGAACGTACTTGCCTCCCTTCTTCGCTTTGAACCAAGATCTCGGGCTGCATGAGCGTCAGCCTGCGGTACTCCTTGATGAGCAAGTTGAGGATCTCCTGCTGCATCGATATGCTGGGCATTCTGGCGGGCTCCAGTGCACCAGCACCCTATCCGACCCACCACGATCCCTGGAAACACCTCCTGTGTTTTCGTAGTCTGGCTAGAGTAGAAGCTACAGTAGCCGAGCGACGACCGAGAGACGCACGACACATGCACAGATGCACGGTTTGTGGTGGCCACCGCGAAGGCCTGACCCCAGGACAGTTCGTGAACCGTATTTGGCACCGGAACACTCGCTCGTACACAGCTCCACGGGTAAATTGCGCACTCGACCCTGCACCACGCTCGGGTATGCATGCCTCAGGAATGGCAGGAGATGCTAACTGGAGCAGTGGCATGGGCGCTCGACGTGCGCCCGTTCAGCATATTGGCCCGTGAAAATGGTGGACCCCTGGCCCTGAGGATGAAAGAATTTAGCTCAGGAAACCGATCCGGCTGTCGAACTCGCCTGCGATTGGGCAGTCGAGGCCTTCTCAGCAGGCCCCGCGTCTGGGGCAAAAGGGAGACCCTGTGGTCGTGGAATATCCCGATCATGGTCGCTGATATCGAAGAATTCAGCCCCATCATCAAGTGATGGAGTCGATCGTTCACTCAACATATTCTGCGACCTTACCTTGCGGCGATTTCATCGATCGCACGCTCGGTAGTATCGCGACGATGCGAAAAAACATGCTTCCACGTGTGCGACTCGTGTAGCGAAATCGTCAACGAGATCATCAGTTCTCTTCTTATGATCGTTAAGAGATCTGCTGATCTCGACGCGAATCGCCTGGATGCTAGAAGTCGCATCCTGCTCAACAGCACCTATGAGTGGATCCCAAATGGACATACCAATGAAGAGCTGTTGCAAGCTATCAGGGTATCGCTGAATGTCGCTGATCGTTCGATGAAGCTCCACACATATATATAATATGGCTCGATTCTCATTTGAGATTGAAGATCCTTTCATCGAACTCAATGAGACGATCATTGAGGTTGCTCTTCAGTTGTTCGAATTTCTCGTGGAGAGTCCCATGATCGTCATTCGCCGATCTTGAGCAAACTCGTAGTTGCGACGATTCTCATGGAAATGCTTGTCGAGCATCGTGATGAACCGTCTACGGAGATCATCGATCTTATCATCGAGATTTTCAGCGAAGTCGGACACCCCGTGAGCGATCGCATGAATATCGACGGCGATTCGCTGGGCGGCATCAGGATCCAGTGCGCCCCAGATCGAGGGATCAGCACTCCAGAAGCCCACGGCCAAAACCGATGGCCGGGGCATGATGGCCTTGGCTCGCCGCAATCGAGGCACCGTAGCCGCCATCATGGGCCGGAGCGCCGGCAGCGCAGCAGGAGGGCGGGAGCGCTGGGACCGCAATCGGGTGGCCCCAATCATCCTGCCTGGACCCGCAGATTTCCGGGGTGCCCTCTGGATCCCCGCGAAGGGACAGAGCGCAAGATTGGTAAACATCGGTAGAAGGTGCGAATCGCGAGGCAAGGGTGCAAAAGCACTATCATCAGGCTCCGCGTCATTCCGAGCAACCGGCGTCACTGGTGAAGAACCGACGGTTGAAGGAACACAGGGAGACCCAATCGGAGACATTGTTTCTCTGTGGCACTGCTTGACATAAGTCCGAACGGGGCAAGTGGTGCCAGGATATCGGTTGTGCGTCAGAAGCTTGTCGGATAGACGGCCCGAGCGGCAGCAGCAAGCAGAGATACACAATCGGAAGCAAGAGGTCCTACGATTGATATCCGGTGAAAAGCCGAGGAATCAACCTAACTCTCGGTCACAAAGCAGGGCGCCTCCAATCGTATACCCAGCACACAAACCAAAAACAGAAGCGATGCAAAGCAATGCTGGAGATCGACCCAGTGTTCTAGACACCGTAGTTGGTTCAACTGCACACTTTGAAGGAAACACCTACGCTACCCGAGCGCAAGCGGTCCTTTTGCTGGGACCTTGCAGAGCAGGTCTTGAGCAGTCAAGCTCCGAGTGAAAGAAAGATGGCGTGAATCCCAGCAATCATGCAGGTCCTACGTTTACGCAAGTCACACTGTCCACCTGAAATGTAGGGCTACAACCAAAGGAATGAGCGGACTTCTTTTGAAAGCAGTCTTTCACAGGTCTCTCAGTGGTCTTGTGGTGCAGCACTGGGAGAAACATGCGCTCCCTTTGCAAATTGGAGGCAGGTCGGGATGTAACTATCTGCTTACCAACATCCTGCATCAAAGTGAAGTGCTGTGCCTCTGCTGTGCTGGTGAATGTGATGCTTCCTGTGTTCAAGACCTTGCATTTGGCAGGGGAGCCGGCATGCTTTGAGGCCTCCGGGATGTTTGGGAGACTTCGTACTTCGAGGCAGAGAAATGGCAGAGGATGCTGTCCACTTTCAACCGTTGATTGCCAGGAAGCTCTCTGGACGAATGGAAGAGGGCCGCTCTGACGGACCATATCTTCACAACCTCGGACTGCGCTGCAATCCTCACCATAGAGCCAGGGGTGCATTTAACAGTGCTGCGAAAATCTGCTGAAGGGGGATTTCCTGTAGTCCGGCACATGCACCTATCGAGTGTGATCCCAACTACGATGTAATTGGACGTGATGGGACACCTACATTATCATGGATCATAAAAAGCATCGGAATGGGTCTCACGTAGCACTGCACTTCAGCTGGCGGCTGAGCGGGGCTGGCTGGGAAGCCCTCTCAGCTGTTGCTGGAATCCGGCGTTGATTCCTGGGTAAGACTACACTTGTCCAAGGCTTCCAGAGCACTTGCCAAGGTCCTGAGGTCAGCCTCAGGTTTGGCCGCGCAGTTCGAGCGCATGTCCCAGACTGACGCCATCGCTTCAGAGATCCTGGCTTTTGTCGCAGCCGGAGCTGGCTTTGTGAGAGCACGCAGGGCTTGTGCGAGCTCTTCCGTGTAGCGCCGCAGCTCAGTGGCATCCGGCGGATCCAGCAGCGCTTGCTGGACTCCAAGTATCACCTCTCCGACATACTTCTGAAAAGAGGCTCTCGAGATCTGCTTCGGCAGGGCTGGTAGAGAAGGCATCGAAGGCTTTCTGGCAGCAGAGGCTGTCGGGCCTGGTCTGCGGTCCGTAGTAACGCCCTAAGACCCCTCAAGGCTCACCGCGTTCTTGACAGTTTGCCCCGCATGCCCCGCTACACTACAGGAACAAAGACGACGAGATCAGCAGCAGCGGCACCTCTACCGGCACTGCTGACACCAGCACACAGTCAACAACCCGAGTAAAAGGACGACAATAGGAGCAATGATGGAAACAAGGCCGACGGTATCACCACCCCCACCACCGCCACCAGACCGCCGGCCACCACCACGATTATGGTGGGCTCTACGTGTTCCAACAGCCACCTCAACAGCAAGAGCAGCTGACACCCAAACCGGCAAAGTTGCTCAAGTAACAACAAGAGGCTCGGGTACCCAGCTGCTTTTCTTGAGCTCTGCAAGTCATAGCATGCCTTGGAGCCCTGTAGCCAGCTCTGGTCGTCCGCCCATGACAAGTCGGGTCCCATCAAGGAGCCATTTTGCGCAGCTGCAGTCTTCCACTCTCTTCTCCATCCGGGCGTCGGCTGGGAGTTAAAGTTTGCGGCCTGCTCTCCTGACGTGGCCTGCAACCGTTGCTCACGCTGCACGACCCTCACAAGCCGATCCATAACCTGCTGCCCGCGCGAGGCATCACAGCGAGTCGCATGCTGCTCTCGCTTCTGGCGGCTTGTCGGCATGGTGTCCACGGAGCACTAGGAAACATCTCAAGGCTATGGCGGTTAGACCCAAGCAGCGGGAGTAGCGGCAGCGTCAGTGGCCGTAAAGTTTGCTGCTTTGGAGATTCAACTGACCGCTGAGCCAAGCACAGCGACAACGGTTGCAACGAAGGCGAACAGCATCGGATTCCTCTACATCGCTCCGTTTATGATTGATGGCCGGGCCCTCTCGGAAGGTCCTTCCCGAATCACATGGTGTTGCGCAGGCTTGGAGTCAATACTGCCTGCAGCGGGCTGCGCAACACATGAAAGGCTCAAACGCACAGACCCTGCCTGCCAAAACAAGGTTGACCTCCGCCAGTTCTGGTTTGTGACCTCTGCACCGCACAAGCACTGCTTGAACTATATACGTCGTTGCCGAGCGTTCACCGTCATGGAATGATAGCGTTGCTGCCAAATTCTGACCAGATTCTAGCAAGCCTGGCGATTAGAACAGAAACCAAGCGACTGCACCATCCAAAGCCTAGCTCAGTCTTCCTTGACCGGCCCTTGACCCTATCCGACTGTCCAACAGGAATGGAAAAGGGCAAAGACCAAGATAGCTCCATCCCACAATGGCATAATTAAGCACTATAACGAAGTCACTAGCAGTGGCACCAGAACGGTAGGCTGCGCTACAGTATGCTGCGCCTCTATCATAGCAGCGGAGGTGGCCAGGAGACGCGAGTCGTCAAGAAGCCCCATCAGCTGAGCCAAGGAAGACCAGGCCTTGATTCCATGGTAGCGGAACAAAAATCGGTGCTCATGGCTGAGGCGAATGCTAGCAAGTGAGGAAGTTGTGCAACATCGCTGAGATGGGCCCACCAACGAAGCTCGTTGAAGCTAGCCTGTGGCATGTGGACACCCATGGACACGCTTGCAGCATCTTCCTGAAGTCTTGCAGCTTTGCTCTTTTCAACTCCGGTCTACGAGCGCTGCGCTGCCGCGCCTCCTCGTGCCACCGGCCCCAAGCGGCCCCGCTGCGCTGCAAGGCCCAGCCTTGCAAAAAGCTGCGAAGCGTCGGCAAAGGAAAGAGCTCAGAGAGTTTTACTTTTTGGGCTCGGCTGGGCCTCTCCGCTGGACCGCCGTGCTGCCATCCTGGCCGTAGCTCCGTGCGAAGAAAAGCGGCAGCAGTTCCTTGCTGGGCACCTCCGTGGGGCAACTGAACAGAGATCCGAAGACTGGAGAACTGGCTCAGCCACCAGCAGAGGCATGGAGAGGCTGTACAGCTCATAGAAAACCTGCAAAGCTGCTGCGAGCTGCAAGCTGGAGCTGCAAGCTGGCAGATCGCCAGAATGGGTGAGTCCTTCGAAGCCTTCGAATGTCATATCTATCCGAGTCGCCAGGGTCTGCGGGTCGTAAGGCAAAACGACCGCAGCGCGATAAGACGCCCAGGCTCCCCAAGATCGGTCCTCAGTCAGCCAGATCCAATGCCTTCGCACCGAGGCGAAACCTGGCCTTCAGGTGGGTCATGTAGCGGAAGCTCCATTTCCCCCATGCCCAAGATGGTAGGGCCTGGAGCAGTGTAGCGACTCGCTTGTCTGCGACAGTCAGAAGCAACAAAGCGCTCTCGCGCTCTGCAGCTGAGAGGCCGCGTTGAGAAGACATTGGAAATCCCAGAACGTGAAGACCTGGCGTCTCAGCAACGCCACACCGTCAGCAGAGCCATCAGCAGAGCTGTGCGAAGAGGCCTGCTTGGTTATCAAGATATCCTCGCTGCTGCGCATGTGCTTTGGCTGCGAAGATTTCGCATACAGCGCCACAGGCCTGACAGCGCAGCGATTCGTATAAACTGCCCCTTCCGCCCTCCACGTGATCGCTCGCAACTGGTGCTGACCTCACGACGGGCAATCTCACGCCAGTCTGCCAGTAGCCCTGGGCGGCTATCGGAGGTGCCATGAAAACCTGGCGGACTTGAAAACTCGCTCGACATCGACCTCGAGCAATGGAGACGCAGACCAAGCGCCAAGGGGCCAATTGCAGTGCAGCGTGCAATGACGAGGTGCGCTGGGGTACTTGCGCGACAAAGCTGTAGAACCTTTAGACACTGTAGACACTAGACTGCACGAGCCTGCAGCGACGTAAGGGAGAGCTGGGCCCCGCACTGCATCTGGTCATCCGCAGTCAAGTATGCACCTAGCGGGTTGCCCACATATCCAAGGACCTGAGCAGCGAATAGCTATAGAGTGTTACAGTTATAGCCAGTTATAGCTATACAGCACAACCAGCCGCGAACATGACAGGAAGAATGATGGCACAAGTTTTGCTAAGCTGCAGTCCTGTTCAACTCGGCGAACAGGAGGCAGCTGAAGGCCGGCTCGCCGCAAAGAAGCCTTGTGGGGGTTTCCGAAAAAATGGGGTACCTTCTTTGGGGGTCCTTATAATTGTTGAATGCTGCACTCCGCCTTCCTTTGTTCTTTCAAGGGCATGTGTCATGACATGTCAGACAAGGCCTGTAAGTGCCTTCAAGTAGATGGTCGTCCTAAACCATGAAGCATGCTTTAGGCATGTGATGGTAGGAGCCGTCGGAGTTTGCTGTGTGAGAGTGGAAAAGGGTAGGAGTGCTGCGCTTTCTCATGGGCCTCCGTGAACCCCTTGGACTACGTCACTGCACAAATCGAGAAGTATACCAACCTGGAATCGGCTGTCAAGGCCGCAACAATCTTTCAATAATAATAAGGGTCCTACGATTCAGGGTACTGTATTAGGGTCCCCTAACCCCCTTTGTCAGCTCTGAGTAGTGCGAGCGCAGGGTCAGAGCGTCTGACATGCTCCGGGTGCACACGCCGGGCAGCACATCTGCTTGAATTTCCGAGGCGAAGTTGCTTTCCTCGAAGTCCGTGCGGAAGTTGTCGAGGCTGGGAAGGAGTGGGAAATGTCCCAGAGAATCCTTCAGACATCTCATATAACGGAGTGCTTGATTCGTAAATTGTGCAGAGGACGATATCAACCTCTGCTGAGCTCCTCCAGCGTGCCCAGATGCCTCTGCAGGATCTCGTTCACCAGCCCGCCCTCCACGCATGTCACACCGGGAAGTTCGGCTGCACAACCGCCGCGGACGCAGAGCGTGGCTTCCTGCTGCACGGCAAACCGTTCAAGCGGCAATATGCACAGCTGTGGTCCATGACTAATGTCGGACGTGGCGCAAGCTTTATAAAGCCCGTCCAAATGCTGAGTGGTTCCAGGAGCAATGTCGGGTGGGTGCTTGTGGCCCATACCCGCAAAACCGGAGGTCCTGCGGCATACATTGCGGGGCCCGGTAACTTCACATGCTTCCCTGCAGGCCTTCTTTGAAGTCTTCAACCTCTCCTTGCAACCTCACGGTACCAGCAGTGACCTGCCGAGCACGCTGTCTCCAACTGTTTCAGCTCAGCACGGCTCCGCACCTGATGCAGGAAGGCCTGTGCTCGTGCGAGAGCATGGCCGTCCAGCACTGGACCGATTTCACCATCTGGCAAAGCCTCCGAAAGCCAGCAATGTAACAGAAACACGTCTTTTCACCAGAAATCAAGGGCCGCCGCACGGCCTCCAATACGTCCTCCAAGCTGGCCCAGCCGGAAGATTCGAGCAGCGTGAGAGCCCGGTGCCTCACACGACGAAGAGGAGTCCTCTCATATTCTGTCTGCTTCTGCCTCTCCCAACTCTCTCTCACCCGAGTGAAATCGCTTTGAAAGCCCCTGGCCCACCGCGCAGGAGCCCACGCAGCGCCCAGCGGCCTTTGGCCGTGAGCCGGGCCACCGACCTCTCGTCACCAGCCAGGAGTGCCGAGAGCACCTCGCAAGAGAAGAGAGCGAGAGAGAGAGAGAGAGAGAGAGAGAGAGAGTGAGTGAGGTAACAACAACATCAGATTCCTGCTTTCATACGTTTTTCGTATATACATTTGCATTCATATGTCGGTTGACGTCTTGACTGGGTCCCAACCGAAGGAAACGTCCAAGCCGTGCCTGGCGCCCTTCTTCCTCAAATGCCGTGTCCTCTCAGCAATGCCAAGCAACCCTCCCTCCATAGTGTGATAGTTCTTAGATGTGGGTAGTTGTCAAAATTATGGTTCCCGAAAAGGGACCATAATTTTAACAACCACCCATGTGCTCTTTTCAGTGTTTTCGTGGAGCTTTCCTTCCGGCCTCGGAGTCAGCCGCAGCCAACGCAGCGCGAAGCTCGGGCCAGGCACCCGACAGCACAGCCTCTGCCCCAAAAAGGCTCTCATGAGAGGAAAGACTACACCGCGACAACACACGTGTCCCGCACCTTCTCCACGCGCAGCTCACAGAGCAGGGCTGCAGCCCAGCCAAACAGACAAGGTGGAGCTTCTCCATGGTGGGTGGAAATCATCCCACGTACCTGCACTTCAATTCAAGATTTCCGGCCTCTATCCATGCTCGTCTCGGCTCTTGCCACCACGCCCTGCAAACCTGAACAGGGAATCCATAGCAATGCTTGCCAAGCCGGACCTGCAGCCGAAGGGCTCGATTGCGCTTTGTCCCGCTAGCCGGCTGGGAGGTTCTGTGTGCCATGCCCGGGGTACTTGTGGGCTGCAGCCGCAGAAGTTGAAAGTCGAGGATTCGGGTTCTGTACAAGACGAATTCGACGACAAAACTGTTTACATCGAAGCTGTGACTCGATGTCCTTGCGGCCCGCCAAAATTTACACTTCTAGATTCTAGATCACAAGACTCTACAGCTCGTCATGGGCTTCGTCCTCCTCACCTGGGCTGCCTGTGCCCGCTCCATAGTATCTAGAGACGATGGGAGCGCAAAGATCTTCGATCTCCTTCTGCTTCGTCTGTATCTCCTCCGTAGTTGCTGCGGGGTTGGAGTCCAACCAATCTTGGCC